TGATAAATGATACTGTGTGGCCATTGATTTGTCCTTTCTTTTCCAGCCTGTTGGTTTTGTAACCTTTGATAGTCGTTCCGGTGCTGAAGCGGCAAAGAATGCGTTAAACGTAAGCAATTGCTTAATCTTGAAAATCTGTCGGCTGATTCTCAGCTAGGTTCATACTTCATGTGATTTAAATGCATTGTCTACGGTGTATATAATGTATATGAACATTTTTCTACTGTCAATTTATACAACAATGGCCATAGCTTGCATACATTTCTCTATTTATAACATTTAACCATAAAACATGGTGAGCTTAAGGTGTCCCATATTCATTGATCTGTTCCAATACATTACAAATAAGTGCATAATGTTCATTTCAAAAGTTACTGAGCACCATGATTCGGAGACGCCATTCTACGGTAGATTACCATTAATGTTTTTCTGTCTTTAGCGTGTCATGTGTCCACTTCCATTTAGGTAACCACTAGCTTTGCTGTTCATTCACTAGTAGAAACGTTCACTGCATGTGGGCACCAGCTTAAAACGCACTGCACATTTTGACCAGGGTCTGGCAGGCACAACCCATCCCCATTACTCTGTCCCCCTCCCCACCTTGTGTCTCCAGGGGGTTCGGTTTGACCCTGAAAACCCGCAGACCCTCCGGTTAGAGTTTGCTAAGGCCAACACGAAGATGGCAAAGAGTAAGCTGATGGGCACTCCGAATCCCACACATATCCACCCAGCTCTAGGAGCGCACTTCATAGCACGGGACCCATGTAAGTTCATGGTCGACACGGTAGTTCACACACTGCAGAGAAGGACAGACCGGCGCACACACACTCTGTAGCTACACATCTATAGAGTAGATCTTAGGAAAACACAAGAAGAAACTAATCCACCTCCACATGCATGTCATTAGCAAATGGCCTTTTCTGTTCTCTTAGTTCTATTACACTTAAGTTGAGCCTTAGCACTTCATCTCATTCAACCTCTCTTCTGTTCCAAGTCACAGAAATTACCAGAGGTCACACAGGTATCAGTATTTAGTTCCTGCCGCTTTTTGTTAATTTTAGGATTCTTTTGGTGTGTGTTAGGGCCTTTGACTTCAACAATTTGTCAAACACTTGATTTTGAAGTGGTGTTTTCAGTCACATCTGACATACTGAACTGAGCTGGCAAGGTGATGGTTTGCTGTGCTTATCCCAATCCTCAGATGACTTGACGGGGGCAGCACTGATCCCAGCATCTCCAGAGGCCTGGTCTCCTTACCCTATCTATACCCCGGAGCTCAGCCCAGGCCTGCCCCACACGGCTTTCACCTACCCAGCAGCAGCCGCTGCAGCAGCAGCCGCACTTCATGCTCAGGTGAGGCCATCTTTACCAGTTTCTTTTATTTTTATTTTTTTTTTTTATTGTTAGTTGTCTTTTTTTTTTTTTTTTTTTTTTTCCCTGCTTCTAGATTTATTTATTTTTCTTGTCATTTGTCAATTCTCTTTTTGATTTTCATTATTTTTCTTGCATGTTTGTTTCCCTTTAGTTTATTATTTCTTAAATTTAACTTTTAATTAAAATTTCTGCACTGGGATCCAAATTCATCTTTATGAATATTATGCACTAATTTATGGAAGGCAGTGTTTTACAAATTTAATCCTGCTTGTCACTGTCAAAATCAAAGGATTTTTTTCCATAAGGGAAACTATACATTTTAATGTGAAAATGCATCAATATGTTGCTTTGACGTTTTATTTAAAAAAAAATAAATAAAAAAAAATAGACCATTTATAAAATGTAAACTCATGTGTTATGCTACAGTAAGTCTGTCAATTCTCTTTTTGATTTTCATTATTTTTCTTGCATGTTTGTTTCCCTTTAGTTTATTATTTCTTAAATTTAACTTTTAATTTTTTTTTTCTGCACTGGGATCCAAATTCATCTTTATGAATATTATGCACTAATTTATGGAAGGCAGTGTTTTACAAATTTAATCCTGCTTGTCACTGTCAAAATCAAAGGATTTTTTTCCAGAAGGGAAACTATACATTTTAATGTGAAAATGCATCAATATGTTGCTTTGACGTTTTATTTAAAAAAAAAAAAAAAATTTTTTTAAAAATAGACCATTTATAAAATGTAAACTCATGTGTTATGCTACAGTAAGTCTGATTTATTGGACTATCTTTTAATGAACATTTAGTAGAAATGTGAATAAAAGTGAGTATTCTTTCTCGGCATTAAGTAAATATAGCAAGCATAATTTAAATAATTTGAGCCATTGAAGTCTTTAAACATTGTGCTTTGGTTGCATTATGTATTTACTTATTTGACAACCTCAAAGATAATTTCATGTTTTGTGTGCCAGTCATTAAGTTGTTAGTTACGTGAATGAGTTACTACTTTGCTCAATGCTAACATGTCCCAGATAAGTAGAGGCTATCTAAATGTCAAGTAAATGCTAATGGTCCTGGCGCAAAAGTTGTGGTGTTACCAAGTATTCAAAGAAAGCAAACTGTCAGCTGTGACTGCTTGGGTCTCGTGCTAATGAATTTTGAAGATTTCCTTGGCTGTGTCACAAAGTCTGAAGATGTTAATTTTATATTTATTGGTTCGTTTTTTTTTTTTTTCCCCCTTGTTTAGATGCGCTGGTATCCCTCCACATCAGACTCATCCCAGCCTGGATGGAAATCACGGCAGTTCTGTTAAAATATAGTACGGCCATTCCATTACCTCTTGCATGCAACATGTGATTTTATAAAATGTTCTGTTTTAATAATTTTTTTTCTTTTCAGGTTTCTCTCTTCAAATGGTGTCTTCCAGCTCCTGTTTAGCATCAGTCCAGTTCATTTGAACTTTGTTTTTGGATGTATTAAGTCCTTTGGAATTAGGCCATGAAGAGATGAAATGAGTTTGTATTGCTTGTTGAGCTTGTATTGAAATTTAGTGCGGTCAAATGACTAATCGTGATTAATTGCGTACAGTTTTTGTTTGCATAATGCGTGTTCCGTGTATTTATGTGTATATATAAATACACGCATACAGTTTTTTGAGAATATCTACATGTATTTACACGTCTATATATATTCATATAATTTATATTCTAAATAAATATTTAATATATAAACATCCTATTTTTCTGAAATGTATACATCCGTGTGGGTATTTATATACATAATAAATATACACAGCACACTATGTAAACAAACTTATTTGATGCGATTAATCATTTGATAGCACTAATTGAAGTCATTGCCAACAGTACAAAAATAGACCTTAGCAGTTCTTAATGGATCGGTTCCTTATTTTTTTTATTTTTTGGGGGGGAGGGGGGTGTATTGAAGAATAAGATTAAAATACTCATTTATTCATTCATTGAGATTTGCTCTGGGTCTAAGTAAAATGAGACAATCAACTGACGCTGACATTGAGCATGTTGGTTTTGGCATGAAGTGTAGCTCTGTGCGTCATTGTAGTATGTTTGTTGCTTCCATGACTGGTGTAACCTTGTTTAGTAGCTTGGTCATTAAAGATGCTTATGTTATGTACAAAACTGTGGCCAACTTATTTTGGGTAATGTGATGTCCAGACAGCCAGATGGTTTCCCCCTGCTAGTTTCCACTGTAACACATCACAGAGGGTCTGATGATTTTACAAAATGAGACCACTTCAGTCTAGAGTGTGTGACTGGGGACAGAAGAGTTTGTGCAATTGAAATAATCTGTGTAAGTTATTGCTAACTTTTTTTTTTTTTTTTTTTTGTCATTTGTTTTTTTATCCATTTCCTTTTATTTTAAACATCTGGAATTAGGGGCATAATTTAGACAATTCAGCTAAAAATGTAGTCATCCATCCTCATGTTTTCAAATATGCATGAATTTCTTCCATGTAGCACACAAAGGGATGTTAGGCAGAATGTGAAAAACAACCTCTTTCAGTTGTTTCTATGCAAAAAAAAAAAAAAGTGACTCCCATTGTGTCCAACATATCCTTTTGTCATTACAGAATGTCAAACAGGTTTACAACATGAAACCTTTACGTTTGAGGTGAGAAACCAATAATGTAAGTGCTGCCCTCTAGAGGAAGTGAGTCGGTAGGCTTTGTAATTTGTTTTAAATAGGCTGCCTGCACTGAAGGTTGCTACTGAGCACTCTAGCAATGTGGCTGTTGTTGATCACTTTTGTATTTATTGTATTATAGAAGTCTTTATTCCAAACGTACAAAGTGTAGTTTGTCTTTGAAAAAGGCCCAATTTATAAATGCTGCTCTCCATGGTCCTGATTTGTCAATAAAATAAATTTACACGCGACGTGACGCACTTCAAAAAACATTTATGATTCTGTATTGCTGTGGTATGCAACTGCAACCACATGTTCTGGACTTGGAAAATGTCTTGCCCATGTAGGAATGTATTTGCTTCTGTCATTGTGCAGTGTCCTTGAGCTTGGGAAAGGCGCTTTATAAATTAAACTTATTATTATTAAATAAATGCACAAGTTAGATCATGAAAAAAAATTTTTTAGATTTAAACATATTCATAAATCTCGCAGAAGGCTTTAAAATGCACAACGCATCAGACGCCACGACCAACTTTGTTGAATAAGAATTAACTTGTATGAGAAAATGAGACTGGGACAGCAATCAGAAATATTGTAATGATATAATATAGATAATTTGGGGGAATTTAAAAGATACGGTAGTTTTTGAAACCGTAAATTAGCCTATGGAAAATGACGGCTGCCTCTTTGCAGGAGAATTGGTCAGGAATGCTCGGTGGTGTGGCATCAGAGGAGGCCAGAGACTGATGTCATTAGGAAGGGGCTGTGAGGGCAGCAGCGCCTGGGTCACATGCAGGGTGGGTCGTCTCTGTAGAGACCGCTGCTCCTGTGCAGTTTAGCCAGGCGGAGGGAGGCGAGCTGTGATTTATCAGTCTAGGGAGCCAATGCTTTCTCGAATGTGCATGCCTTTTATTCCCAGTGCTGATGCAGAGTCACCAAAAAGTGTTTTTGTTTCTGGACTCTGATAATAGGTCGCCCCGACTCTGACTTGTCTGCGGTCCGGAGCAGGATGCTCTTTCCCAGCGGTGGCCAGGACTCATCCAGGGGTCTGCCTGACATCAATAACTGGGGTCTGGGCCTACAGTCCCTCAGCCTGTCTGACTGGGAGAGACCGTGGAGCAGCCATGACACGGATTCCTCTGCACAGACCAACACAGCCTCACGTGAGTGGAATGAATAACATAACGCAACCGTATGGTAATATTGACACCATTTTACACGAACGCTTAAGCAACGCTATTTATGTAATATTTATTCAAAATGAATGTTGTTTTCAGTAGGCTCTGGTTTTATAACTACGTTTTCTTTTTGGAATCTCTTTGTGGGCCTATGGCCTTGTCCTGACTAGAGCGTGTTTAAACCGTTCTCCCTTGGCCTGTAACAGTGAGTCAGAGCCTTTTGTTGATGATAGTCACAGATCCTCGGCCTGCCTCATGCACTGGTAATTCTCATTAGTAGTGCTGCAATAAGAGAGCTGTTCTTTTCAGCTGTTCTTGTTTGAGTCTTGGAATTTTTTATATTTAATTTTTTTGATGGTTTGGCAAGCAATACAAAAATCTATACTTTGGTTTTCCTTTATTACTTTGGGGTGATATTTTTAGTGTTACTGTGTACTTTTTGTAAATTTTTTTTATATTCTTATATTCTCCCCCCCCCCAGTGCAAGGAATTTTGGGGACTCCCAGCCATCTCTCCAACAAGCCTCCGAGATACTCGGAGCCTTCCATTGGTGCCACAGACTTCCTAGAAAAATTTCCCAGCATGGCACGCTTGAACTCTCAATCTTTCCTGGACTCTCACTCCATTAGCCCTGTGGACTCGGAGACCAGTGGCTTCAGCTCTGGTTCTGATCACCTCTCAGACCTGCTGGTAAGTGTTTTGAGATCATGTTCTGTGTGGTTTGGTTTCTGCCAAGGCTTTTTTTATTTTATTTTTTTTCTTCTAACCACAATAGAGGGCTTTTTATTTTTCGTCAATTGCGTTTGTCTGGGAAATTTCTGGAAAACTTTCTAGCAGCTTCTTGGGTGATTTATACAATCTAAATCTTTACCACAATACAAGCAATTTTCAATAGAGTAACTGTCTGAAAGTAGTTGTTTGAATACAGAGCTGTTACTAATTGAAATGAAACCAAATCCTGTATCTCTCATTGCTTAAATTCACATTAGGGCTGGTTTCACAATATTCTGAATAAGCTGTAACTGCAATTTTCCTCTTTCTAAATCCCCCCCCAATTGGAAATGACCTCCACCTTGTCTTACATAGTTAGGGTAACTTCCAAATTACCTTGGATGAGACGAGCTGTTTAACAAATTTATTGGGTTCCAAATGTAAATTTGTGGACAGCCCAAATTTCTTAACTTTCTGAAGATGGCCCCAGACTTTGACAACCGGTTATTCACTTAAGACCGCTGATTGTATTTGCAGTAGGTTTTACGTTTACTCATTTAGCTGACATTTTAATCCTGAGTGGCTCAAATTTCTATTAATGTCTTGTGTTCGTTGCATAAGTCTTATTGTGAACGATTCATGCCTTTAACTTTGCACATGTGGTTTTGTATTTTTATTTTTTAAATAAACCCTTGCAGTGGATAATCGTGACCGATTCCAGTTTCATTGGCTATGCCACTGTGGCACTCAAATGGCGGCTGCACTAAATACAATATAGGCAGGTCTCAATTGAGTATCATTTACCATTATATTTTGTCCAGCCCTAATACCGTTGTTAAGACTGACACAGCAGTTTCACTTTCTTTAAAGATGCTATTGAATGTAGTGTTATCAAAAGTGCTATACAAATTTTGCTTTACTATATAAATTCAAACCGCGGACTGTCGAATGGTGTTTTAATGAAGCTAGTTTTAAAAGTAGCTCTCTATGGTCCTTGAATGTTCTTCTTGGCAAAGCTAACTCTTCTCCCTCTTCCGCAGTCTTCTTTGAGGATCTCGCCGTCTGTGCCCTTCCTTATGTCTAGTATGCAAAGGGATCCTCTCAAGCTAGCGCTGGGTTCTCGGATGGACCTCCGCAGCTCCCCTCTTACCCCGCCACCCAGTGCCACCCCAAGCGGTGGTCTGTCCCACCGCTGGCCTGGTGCCTCCATCTGGCCCAACTGGGACCTAATGAAGACTCCTGAGAGCCCCTTCAGCATTGAAAGAGAGGCCTGGCTTCACAGACAGGCAGCCTGTATGGCCTATTGCATGCTACTGTAGCGCATTAATTCATAGGCTATCCCCCACCCTTTCACCCTCCCACTGAAACCTCTGAATGTCCTTTAACGCTTCCATTTAACAGATTTGTGCAACCCTGTTGCTGCTGTTCACTGTACTGTTTTTCATCAATACATAATGCAGGTGTTGCTTTTGTTGTGCTCATCTTGTGAATTTGTGCTCCACAGCCATCAATGAAGCTACCTTCACATGGAGTGGGCAGCTGCCCCCCAGACACTACCAAAATCCCATTTATTCCTGCAAGGTGTTTTTAGGAGGAGTTCCCTGGGACATCACTGAAGGTAGAATAACTGATTTTATACAACAGATACGTGAAATGGTAGTCTGCTGTGAGGTTTATTTTTATTTTTTAAATTACCGTGCTTTGAATAGATTACTGGCCTACTAATTGAAAAATATTGAAGTTTCAAATGATTACAATTGGATTTGACTGTCTAGTATGTGTGCCATGTTGACGCATGGTCTATTCCTGTTGGAGGTGTGGCATCTCCTTGAAGTTTTTGCATTTAAAAAAAAAAAAAAAAAGAGAGAACGCATGCTAGATTACTGTTTTGTGCCATTTGCTTTCTGTTCTCCACATTTTGCTGTGCTGTTTATCTGATACTGGTTTTCACAACTTGCACTGCCATTTTAAAAGTTTGCGGTCTAAGTTCAGACCGCAAACGCATTAACTTGATCAAGAGACCGTAAAAGCATTTGTTACAGGATATTTAAATTTATTTTTTTAAACTTTGTTCAGAGTATTGGGGAAAACTATGTATTATGTTTTCCACAATATTAGGCAGCATAAGTTTTCAACGTAGATGATGTTTAAGCAGTAAATGACACTAAAGTTTGGAGTAATGGCTGCTAAAAATTTAGTTTGGCCATAAACTGGAATAAATTGCCATTTTCAGGCACAAAACGGGTCTCTTGGAAGAACTCTTGGTTCATCGCCGAATATAGATATCTATGTACATCTCTCCAAGCTGCACCATTAGGTGTAATATTGAATGAGTAAATTTTGTAGTAGTTTCATTACTGTTATTGCTGTATCTATTCAATGCAACCTTGTTGAACGTAAGAGACTCTTCAGAAACCTAACTCTTCCTAATCCCAAACTTTGAAGGGTAGTATAGATATGCCATAGCCCTGTTTGCTTCTAGACTAATGGCTTCTCTGTTTTTGTCCCCCAGCTGGTTTGATAAACACTTTTAAATGCTATGGCCCTCTCAGTGTGGAGTGGCCAGGTAAGGATGGCAAGCACCCTCGCTGCCCTCCGAAAGGTAATATGCCCAAAGGTAATGCTGAAAGGGTAGGAAACTTATTTTATTACAGCACTGTTGTGGGATGGTGTGGCTCATGGCACTCAACTACTTGGTGACTACAAGAACCCTTCATACACATGGTGGTATTTGTTTCTGGGAATTTAAGTTATTTAAATTTTTTTAAACCCTTTGCAAGATGTTCATACCCTAGTTAGCTGTGCAGTTTACAGTTATGGAGATGGCTGTGAGCCAGTTCAATTGAGTTACGTTTTGGCCATGTGTTTTTTATTTTATTTTTTCCCCCCCTTTTATTGCTCCCCAGGTTATGTGTACTTGGTGTTTGAATCGGACAAGTCTGTGTGTGCCCTGCTACAGGACTGCACTGAGGACCTGCTCCATCCTGAGGGCTACAGCGAGTATTACTTCAAAATGTCCAGCAGAAGGATGCGCTGCAAAGATGTAAGATGGTCTTTAGGAGTAGATTTTGTAGCATCTGTTACAGTTGCAGTGTGTTTTTTTTTATTTATTTATTTTTCCTCTGGTACATTTTAACATAAGGCTGTTATACAGAAATGATTATTGCAACTTCTGTATGGGTGCCTGATGCATGTTTGTGTAATCGGATGGTAAAAAGATTGTTCCTTAAAGGGGTCATATGAATATTTAAGTGTGGTTTATTTTTTCTTTTTTTTCTTTGGAGTGTTACAAGCACTTGGTGCATAAAGATCTGTAAAGTTGCAAAGACTAAAGTATCTCTTCAGATTTGAAATTCTTTATAAAAAGTTAAGCGTCAACCACGCCTACCTAAAACTGCTCATTCTAACACGCCCCCACATGTCTAGTCACTGTGGAAATATTAGCATAATGCCGCCCAAATGTTCACGCAAAGAAAGGTGTGGTTTCAGGAACTGCAGTAGTGTTGATGCAGCCATGTCAGGGAGAAGCTGTGAATTTTGCAGAAAGCAAAAGCACTTTATTTGGCCTTCCGGAAGTAGATGCAATTAAGAATAATTTTCAGATTTATTTGCAACAGAACAGCACAACCCAGATGTTCGAATTTGTGCATCGAATTTTATGGACGCCAGTTTATTTATTTATTTTTTTTATATAACCTTGAGTACAAGGCTGGCTGTGCACAAAGGCTATTTCTAAAAAAAAATAAATAAAAAAAATAATAAAAAAGGTCAATTCCGGCTTTGCTGTGACAATCTGGCACTTCTGAATCAGCGACTGTAAGTATGTTTTGTTATTAGTTTAAGTATTTGCTATTGAATGTTCAAATGCGGAGTTTTGCGCAGAGTAACGCGTCGTGTGTGTGGGAGGGGAACAGGGTCACATCACAGAGTGAGCTGCCTGTCAGAAATCAGCACGTCAGCTGTCTTAACCGCGGCTTGTGTACTGCATCATCACTGTGTCTGTCACGCGACTCTGTTGCCCTTTCGGGCTTGAACTGATGGTAAAACTAACGACATTAACTGTCTCTATTTACTTTGAAAGCTGACGCTCGCAATTATGGTAAGGGGCGTTACATTTCTGACGTGTGCTTGTGGTGTTCGGCCAATCACAATGCACTGGGTCAGCTGGCCAATCAGAGCAGACTGCGCTTGTCAAAGGAGGGGGCTTTGTTGAAAACTGTGTTTGAGAGAGGCGGGGCATAGAGGACCTACAATGTACAGTATTTTAAAAATGTTTTTTTTGGACATTAAAGCATGTCAACAGTCTGTTACACCAAATACGCAATGATCTTTTAAATGGGTTTTTTTTTTTTTTTTGACCCTCAGGCACAGGTGATCCCTTGGGTGATTTCAGACAGTAACTATGTGAGTTGCCCCTCTCAAAGGCTGGACCCTAGGAACACTGTGTTTGTAGGAGCCCTGCATGGCATGCTCAACGCTGAGGCCTTGGCCAGCATCATGAATGATCTGTTCGGAGGTGTTGTGTATGCGGGCATCGACACAGACAAGCACAAGTACCCCATTGGTGAGGAGGGTTTTTAAAAAAAAAAATTATCCAGGTTGAATTAACTTTTTTTTTTATATAGTTTATTTACTTGGTTTTTAAATTTATTTAAATTTTTTTTTTTTTGCTCCCTCTCCCAGGTTCTGGACGTGTAACCTTTAACAACCAGCGCAGTTATCTGAAAGCTGTGAGTGCTGCATTTGTTGAGATAAAGACGCCCAAATTTACAAAGAAGGTAAAGTGGAACTTTGAAACCCAGTGTTTTACACCATTATGGTGTTTCACATACTGAGTATATATGGTAATTTGAGTTCAGTTGGCACTACGTTTAGTCACATTTGCTAATGTCTGCCTGGCGGTGTGATTACACTTTTGTATGCCACTCTGTACATTTTTCTTTATGGGAACTGTCTTCCTGCTTTAGGTTCAGATTGACCCATACCAAAAAACATTTAAAGCTATGCAAGTACATCGGTAGTATTTATTTATTTATTTATTTATTTTTTTTTTTGGAGTGTTACAAGCTCTTGGTGCATAAAGAAGATCTGTAACGTTGCAAAGACTACAGTGTCAAATTCAAAGATATTCTTTATAAACGTTAAGAGTCAGCCACACCTACCTAAAATGGCTTGTTCTAACACGCCCCCACCTGTCTACATCACGATGTGGGAAGATTTGCATGGCAAATGTTCACGCAGAGATAGAAGGCTAACTTTTATTCTCGCTGTAGTGTGGTTGCTGCCGGCATGTCGGGAAGGTGCGGTTTCATTGTGAAAGTGAAACCACTTTGGTTGGCATTCCAAAAGCGGACTATATCCGCTTTGTCATGCCTGGAGCTGATCCGTGCTGGTTGCTGAGGAAATACATCAACTTTGCGCTGTGGGTCGCTGGATCTGCTTTCACTGTGGATGAAGCGACCCGGGGTCGTCACGTGGTTGCCGGATGCTCCTTCATCGAATCCGATGGCCACACCATTCTCAAGGCCGCGGCCGTGTGTTTTGTTGTGAAAGCGAAACTACTTTGTTTGGTCTTTCAAAAGAGGACACGACTAGAAATCAGTGGTTAAGTTGTATTTACAACACTGTTCCAGAACAGTTCAATCAAAGTATTCAGATATGTCCAGTGCATTTTATGGAGGACTGTTTCCTGATCCTGGTAGAGTAGACCACAATGCCGGCTGTTCTGACCGGGGGGGGCGCGTATGTTTACACGGCGTGATGCAACGCGTAAAAAGACCGTACAAGTCATTATAATCCATACTTATGTCCCCACTGGATGCAATATGGAATTAAAATAATGGCATATGTCTTTGAAACAAAGTATGTTGAATAGCACTAACTGGAAAAAATGCATTGCATTAACACTGCATGTATTTTAATGCCTTGTATTTCCAGGGCTTGCATTTTTAGGTCCTGAAATTTAACATGGTGGTTTATTTCAGCTGTGAATATTTCAATTCTAAATAATTCACACATTTTCATAATTAAAAATATTTTCAATAAGTACAATTCATTTGAAATAAAACATCTTTTGTACGTTTTAACTGTCACTTAATTTAATTAATCCCTGCAAAAAATATATATTTTTTCATTTCTTTTAAGCTTTGGCACAGACCTTTGAATGGTAGTGTATCGTTGTACTGACAAAAATATTAAGCAGCACAACTCTTTTCGACATTGATGGAATATGATTCTTGTAGGTTTAAACAGTTTCCAGATCTGTAAAGCTTATTTGTACAATGTCACAATGTTGTCTTTAAAATACAGTATCCTGAAAAGGGGACTTTTGTTTAAGTGGAATTGGTGCATTTGATGTTGGGGTTCTCTACAGAGGTTTTCTAATGCATTAATTCTACTTGACCAGTAGGTGGAAGTGCTGCATTTGTCAATCTGTAATTGAGGATCCAAGCTGGAATTATTTTTTTCCTCTCTCCATTTAAAAAATGCATCATTTGGAAGTGCTGATTAGTGAAGTTAAGACTTATTGGTTGATTGATACTATAAATGTGTACTAATGTCAACCTAGTTCTCAAAGTAGATCTTAAATATAAGAGTGTATTTCAGTCCCACATGGTGGTATGTGGAAGGAGGGATTTCTAAAATGAGGGGCCATTAGTGTCTGGAGGAGCTTATAAATGTTCTCTTTCTCACTCCATTGACAGGCAGTCACATGCCTTTGCTGTTCTCCAAAGGGTCATAGTTTGGTTGGTTTGGCTATGACCCCATTAACCCCGACTGGTAGATTCCATAACTACACCATCTGGCAGCAAAAAACATATTTCTCCATTAATAGCCATTCAAAAAAAAAAAATGTTCTGACACAGCAGGACTCTAAAACGCCGACCCCTATTAAAATATCTATAGCATGATGAAATAGCAATACAGATGTTCCTTGCAAAATATACTTAAGTATATAATTGGCGCAAGACATTTTTTTGCTGCCAGATGAAGTAGTTACCACATCTATCAGCAGTGGGCACGTGGGACTCTTCTAACCAGCTAAATGTTAGTTATTTACAGCTAAATGGATCAAAACCAACCCCGAACTTGAACGCAGTGTAAGAGGCTGGAAGAGTGGCAAAGTGTGTGTGAGCTGGTAAAGGACCTGCCAGTTGAGTCTGTGTGAATCATCCAGGAATCACAGGTGTGTGGAGGATGACCAGCGTTTGCGTTTACGTAACCTCCTGTTTCTCCTCCCCTATACACATCTCACCGACACTACAAAAATAACACCCCAACACCAGCTGAAACTCATCTCCTCATCAGGAGGTAATCTGAACACGGCACGAGAGATTGCCTTGGCACAGCTCATTTAAGCTCACACATTAGCATGAGGATTTTCTCACTGACACTTTATCTACACATTAGTATATTACATCTGAATGGGGTCAATATGAGAAACGTGGGCTTAATGTGTTATAGTAGATTCACTTCCAGCCATCCAGTAGCTTGACTAAATGGATAAACACTGCCACTGAATGGAGTTGTCTTGTAAGGAGTGTTATAGGTGTGATGATTTTAAGGAATGTTTTCCATAACATATGACCATTTCTTTTGGTCATGTCATGCTGTCATTCTCAGAGTTCATATGTGGTTTTGAAAGTGTTATATTGTGGATTTAGCTTCTCTAATTTTTTGTTGAATTCACTGTGAAGCCATAGTATCCGTGTGTTTATGAATAATCTCTAATGCTGGAATCCAGCAATATTAACGTTGTTCAGTTCTGTTAAAACAAGCCCATATAAGACTCACCCTGCTGTAACAGATGAACATGTAGTATAAGAAACTGAATTCTACTACTTGAATGTTCCTATTAGAATCAAAGATGAATAAATATAACCTAGGCTCATTGGAAATATGTGCCTCTACCTACATCTTGCAAAATTCCACAATGTTCCTATAATTCACTGCATTTTCTGGCTATAATGACCATTAGTAGTAGTAAAACCTCAAAACACTTTTGACACAGTGCGTGATTTGACATTTACTACATATGTGAGGCTTTTCTGACATAGTAAACTTGCTCAGTAGCTCACCTGGTACAGCATTGCACTTTGCGATTAAAAAGCTCTTGTAGAAGTAAGTTAATGGCATGGATGCTTCAGAAAATGTTTTTTTCCCTCATGTTTGTTTTTGCTCCCACTTTCGGTTAGGTTTAGGGTATGGTATAGTGTAGGTAGTTCATTATTTTCAAGCAAGAAAGAGCATTAACCTTTTAGCGCCAAATTCACGTTTATCGATCAAACTGATCCGATAAAACTGAACACGCTTTTAACACCAATTATTGGACATTTCAGTTTGAAAGTGTCACAAAACCTGCAACAAGCAATATCCTTTTGTTGAAATGTTGTCACAGGCACTTTTTCCCCCCCAATGAGATTGGGATAAATAATAAAGAAATCATTTTTTTTTGTTATTTTACAATTGAGTATAGTTAAAAATGTTCACATAGTTGTACTGAGGCAATCTCTATCTATCATCATATCTATCTGTCAGAGGTAAGGAAGTGGCAATGGCCTGCTTAGGCTTTTAATTTGGCCACAATTCTCATTTACATCACACTGTATTTCCTCTCTGGTGATAAACTTGGGGAACAATGTCTTGGCATGTCTGATCCATCCCTGTCAGCCATGTTCATTAAAAACAATGAAATAACATGACATTCCAAAAGCTGGCCTCTTTTAAATCAATGATAAAAGAATTGATAAACCAAATCAGCTTTGCAAAATCAAATCGTTTTTGTTTTTAGATCTATTCTTCAGTATTGAATCATTGAATCGTTGTAAAAGTTTCAGGAACCAACTATTCTCATACTCAACATTCAGTTTTTCCTGGACAGCTCTGCTATATTTCATTTATAAGAATGCTGTGTCTGTGTTTCCTCCTTGAAGTATTGCTTTGTAATGTAACCGTCATGTAGAAGTTCTATTTCATGCTGTATATAGGCTACTGGATAAAGTTGCATGTTTTGTATGGTATCATATTTTTATTCATTTGGATAAAGTACTATTTGTTTAACCTCCTCATTATTGCAGTGGAGGAGCAGTGTATCATGTGTTGATATAGTGTGAGAAAGAGTAAGTGAGAAACGGAAACATGGCTGAATTATGGAAGTGTCTCCTACACCCCCTCCATCCCCTTGTGCTTGTAAACTAAAGCTCTTGCAGGAAACAGAGGGTAATGGTGTTAGAGTTCAGCTGTGTCTCTTTGAGGAAGCCTCTCCTCAGGACAGAGAGCTGCCTAAACGGTCGTGGGAAAGGGGGAGGGGCTTCGGCAGAATCTGCCACCACTTTACTCCGTCCTACAAACTTACTAGACCTGAGGGAGTAAAACCCTGCAGCTCTGGAAAACAAAATGAGCTGCTCGACCTTTAAATAGGTAGTTAGCAAACCTAAACTAAAAAACACATGTTCTTGCAGACATTAGATTATTCCTTTTGGCATTTAAAAATATCAGACTGAACCACCATGTAAAAATAATGCATCCCAACTAGAGTTAAATTTGGAATATTCCCGTTTAATTTCTCAGACTTCCGACTGTGAAGGACTCAGGAGTTCCACTCGGAAAATTAAGCTACTTATAAACACTAAAATAGCAGTGCCACTGTTACTTTTGTATCAGTGAAGGCATCTTCTAACTAAATTGAGGATGATAAATTATGCTATAAAGTGTTAGGATTTATTTGTTTATTTATTTGCAGGTAAACACATTTTAACAGACTGGAACATTTTCAGAATCTACGTTCCTGGCTGTCGCCATGTTCATGAGACGTCATACATTTGCATATACTTTGAATTTGAAAAATCACCTAAAATAAGCAGGTTTGTGATTTACATCCTGCATTCCAGAGGGCCTGACCCAGACCTCTTTGCCTTCCAGGGTCACAGTGGACATTTGGCGATTGAATCTTCACAAGACACAGGTGCAGCCACAGGTGCAAGCAGTTTTAAACTGTTCACTGCTTGATTCCTAAAAAGAC